ACATATTAGAATGGACACTGTACATTTTAGGAACACTGCATGCTTATCTTATATAATTGTTAATAATTTTTAACTTAAGTGGTGGGGGCGGAGTGGACAAATGCCCACTCTGCCCCCACCTAAATCCAGCCTTGCCTTAATGTACAATTTCTCAAAATACAAATTGAATGTATTTATCAGTCTTACATGCACAATGTCGTAATTCATTATCATCATCAAAAGCATATAGAAAACTCATTACTTTCTGTATACAATTACTACAGTATTATTATTTACAGGTATAGTAGATGATCATTTTACCATGCTTGAGAGGCGGTTCACTTGCACAGTTAAGCCATAAGCACGGGCGGGGTCCCCCCAAGAGAAAAAATTGAGATAACGAGCTTCTAACACAACTACTGTACTATATATGCAAGGGTTGTGTATCAACACCGCTATTATTCTATTCCTGCTTGCTTAGTGGCTTACTAATACCTTTCAAGTATATAACTCAATAAATGTCCATCTGTCATGGGTATGGAATGGTGGTGTTAATGTCATGGCTGGCTAGCTGAAAAATAAAATTAGGGCCCAGTAGGGGAAGGCCGAGATCCTGACACCGCACCTTCCTCCCGCTCCGTCTCTGCCTCTCCCACAGTCTGCACACTTACTCCAGTGGACATAAATTTTTTTATTCTCTTTAGGTTTTTGACCGAATGATAATCATTTCTTTTATGATTTATTTTGTAATTTTTGCACATTCTGTATGAACAATTGTGTGTATTTAAAAATAACACAGATCCACCTGGTAGGACAAGAGTTAAGGGGGATGTAGCTACAGGGACAATTTAACTTGGCGACCTGCCAAGTCCACAGACATACGCTCTTATACTCTTCATATTTCTTATTTTATAGCAACACATTTTTCAATATACAGGTATACCATATAATGCAATAAAATAACTACAATAACATAAAAACAAAACAAAAGAGTCTGTGAGAGTGTGTGTATGACATTTGTAAATGAGTGTAAACATTTAAACTTGCATTTATCATTGCCATATGAAGAATTCTAGAATGTTCGGTGTATTTTTTCACACAGTTTGGAAGTACTGTACAGGTACAAGCATGGGGTGAGTATCTCCTGTACATGAATTTTGATGTGCGTGCTCCGTGTGAATGGTCCCAATGAACTTCATTAATTTCTAAACCATGCAGGTTCATACGCGAGGTTAAAAAAAAAATGCTCGGGTGAAGGGTGTCTTACATCGGAATATGAGAGCTGTGGCTAGCACACCCAGTTTGAAATATTACTGTAGGATATCATAATTTTTCATTTGCAGTTAAGTAGGGTATACAGTCTGCGCGGAATGTTAGTTCGTGTGCTGAAAAAATATTGATATTTACGATTATGTTATATAAATAAAGTCAAGTAACTCTTACCACTTCAATTAATACTTTGTAGTGTTTCCTCTGCGCTTCAGACAGTCTTTTATCCTTCGAGGAACATTGTCAGCAAGGTTTTGCAAGAGGTCAGGTGGCAAGTTAGCCCAGGTATCCTTGATGACTGCCTCTAGCTTCGGGATTGATGATGTGTCAGCGTCGCGCAGACGACGCTTAACAATGGACCACAAATTTTCTATTGGGTTAAGATCTGGGCTACTGCCAGGCCAGTCATTAAGGAAAGGTACCTCACAGTCTTTGAGCCACTGTATGACACTTTTAGCAGTGTGGCATGGGGCACCGTCCTGCATGAAAAGGCTTGCCTTAGCTTTATCAAATGATTCAGGTAAGAAATCACTGAGCAGTTCAAGATAGTTGTACTGATTCATCATCTGGTTCTTAGGGAGGATTACTAGTTCACCAACACCATAATACGTAAAGGAAGCCCAAACCATAAGCGAGGCAGGGTGCTTAACAGTCTTCACTGTGTACTGTGGGAGGTGCGCGTCTGAGTGGGGCAGGCGGTACACCCTCCCTCCAATACTCCCAGTCACAGAAAACGTAGCCTCATCCGACCATAATACACTCCTCCATGTCTCTAAATCCCACACTTCATATTTCTTGCAAAATTTCACTCTATTTTCCTTCTGTCTCTTTGTCAACAGAGGTTTACGGCGGGCACGAAAGCTCTTAAATTCCAGGTCATCATGCAGGGCTTGTTGAACACAACGTAAGGAGACGTGACTCAAAAGACAGGGGTTTCTCTCTTTCACTTCACGTGCTGTGAGTGAGGGACTGGACCGAACTTGTCGAGAAATAACCTTAAGTGTCCGTGGAGACAATAATTTAGGCCTACCAGACTTAGGTAATGGAGCTGGTAACTCGTCCTCTCCAAGGTCACGGAAACGTTTGACAAGATTTTGAACAACTCGTAATGCCACGCCAGTCTGAGCCGATATTTCTCTCAGTACATGGTTCGCTTTGTACAATGCAATCACTGCTGCAATATCGTCTCTTGTAGTAACCCTCCTGGACATCTCTGATGGCCACTATGTCGGGTTAATGCACCTTAAACTAGACAAAACATGGCCACATGACGGGGGAACCCACACAAAATATCTTACCCTCACAGCTGCCAGAGGCGCACTGAGTACAAGCCGTGATGCCAAATGTCAGCACTTGCCAACAAACCAAGCGTTTTGACATCTCGCATCCCAGGACAGGCTTCACAACATATGATCTTATTTTTGCGAGAACTTAGTTCGTCGGCCCTATCGCGACTTAACATTCCGCGCAGACTGTACTTTGCAAATATTGAATAGGGGAGTTAAAATATCAATTGGATAAGCTGGGTTGCAAATATTGGAGTTTCAAATTGCGTGGTATTCCTGTGTTGGTCTTGCATTTATAACCAGTTCAGAGTGACCCATGAATATTCACATCCCAGTAAATCCCCAAGGCCAAGCTGACTGGAGGTAATCTAAAGATCTCTCACATCCTTATGATACTGCATAGCTTATATTTTCCACTGCACAAATTGCCCTACATTTGACATTGTCATAAAAAAGGTTCATAGTAACAACACTCTTCACTTCTGTTGCCTACCTCATGTAGAAAAGATATGGTTGACCAACTCCTTTTGAGTTCAGAGTTTTTGTTTAAGCTAAGTATATACCTCCATGGTACTTAGGCTGGACTTGGCAGTATAATTTGTGCTACAGTATTGTGTATGGTAAAGGTGGATGATGTACAGTGAAAGAATGAAGTATCTTCTCTGCTTTGGCTGAATTATACTGTAATGAAACCTGAGTACCCGTCCCAGTGAAAGTGCCATTAGCAAGCCCTTTCCAAGGTTCCACAGGCTTGCCAACTGTTTGTGGGCTCCACACGTGTGTGTCAAATGGCTAAACGGTTCTGCGCTGTATTTGTCACAACCTTGGGAATATACTTCATTCTCTCACTTTACATATCTTGCATCCCTTGTGAACTCTTATGTATGTAATGGTTGCACCAGCACTTGCCTCGTGTCCTAATGGTCACTTGTTTGTGCCTGAGATACTCCCAGGCTACCCAACTGAGAAAGTGTACCTAACTTTACCTGTGGGGAAGTGAAGGCAGTCAAATGCAATGATGACCATGCTGCCACCTCATGAGGTGCTATCTAGGCACAAACCTTAATGGATTATCAGGCCTATGGGATCTACAGTACTTTCACTTTCATGTATGTAACAGTGAAATGACAATTTAGCTGTGTGGTGTTCAAATGGAACTATTGTCTTATCTGGTGCTTTAGGCACACAGTTTGAATGAGAGTTGTCCCCCCCCCACATTTTGTTGTTCTGTCAAGCTGGAGGTTCTTAAAATGTTTATTGGAGATCTGTGGGATAATATTCAGGCACATTTTTTATGATGAGTCTGCCAGTAACTTTAATTCAAACCTTGGGATTGATCAGGCCCCTTTGCCTTTGGAAAGAAAAGGGAGAAGGTTTTGGTGACTGGGAATTTCCCATAGGGAAGTGGATTGATTTTTTATTTTGCCGCTTACAGCGGCTACTTTATTGTGCACCCCCTATGGGTCTTCAAGGTAGTGTTTAAAAGGTTTACTGTGGAAAATTGGAGTGGATTAATGTATAAATCTCTCAGAGCTGGCAGAAATTATGAAATTTGGCATGAAGTTACCTTTTGCCACATAGAAACATTTCCTGGGTGGGGACACACTGTAACCTCACTTTGGCAGTCATCTTGAGCAATTTCAAAATGGCTGCTTCAGTTCCACAGCCATAACCATAAAATGCCATATCTCAGGAACTATACTGGGCTGATTTATATGATCTTGGGCTTGTTTCTTATAGTTTTGAGGGTGGCTGATTAATCTAACTATGTATGTATGTTTTGGAATGATTCAAGGTCACCATCACATGATAATTAGAGGTCAAGGTCATATTGACCCTAAAACACCTATGTAGTAAGGCTGTCATGATTGTCAGATTTCATAGCGCTGTGGTGGTTGTTACCAGGAAATCGCAACCGCACAGTTGCAGTTGCGGTTGTTTGTTTTAAAGTCTAATTATCACTAATCGTTGTGGTTGTTTGGTTTAAAGTTTATCACTGTAATCTGTGTAAATTTATTGAGAATAAGAGCAATATTGGCAAATCATAGATTAACGAGTTTTAACCACACTGTCAGACTGCAAATTCAATCATTATTTGACCGTCACATGTGTTTCCAGGGTGAAGGATGAGGACCCAACATTTATGCACTTCACCAACCACTTTCCCCAACGTCTGCCATTTTTTAATGTTTAAATAGTTTCAGAGTATACAGCGGCTTAAAGGGCCATAATTATTTTGCAATACTATATTAATTTAGTAATTTTTTTAAAGGCTATTTGCATGTTTATTTACAGCTTTCTTTATAGTCACTTCAAATGATATGAATCATGAAATCCTAATTAATTATCTAGCTGGAGAGATAAGATATACATTGAATTTAATATTGTTGGAACATTTAAAAGTTATGTATAATGATGTACAGTAGTTATTTGTGAGATACTATTTGTGTTTGTTTGTATCCTCAGCACCCCAAGGGTCAGGGCGCTATCAGGAATCCACATTCACATTTTCCCTCACTCCACAACAAGCCAACAAAATTGCAAATTCAAGAGATCTACGACCAGGCAAACAGGATTACTCGGTTCAGGTGAGAAGTGAATTTATCACTAATCTTTATTGCATGCAAGTACAGAATACTGCTCTTGTAATCTAGAGTTATCAATAGAAATAAGAGGAGCAGTATATGAGTACAGTAATGCCTCATTGGGATATTTTTATATGCCTTGTTAAGTCAAGAAATTCCATGATGATATAGAATGCACAGATACTGTGGAATAGTACTTATCAGAAGCAAATGTGATTTAAATGGTTGCTTAGAGTTAAAAGCCAGGGAAAGATTTTATTTCATTGATGAACTTATTTATAAATAATTTTTTTTTGAGTGTACGAGTCTTTCATCAAAAAGTAACTAATGAGATTCCCTCAGATCACCCCAAGGTAATGTAATTCCTCAAACACAGTCCAAGTGTGCTTCAAAAAGCATGCAAATTAAATAGTCACTGTAACGAATCCCTTTTCAGAGTATTGTACTTGACTCCGACTTAGGTCTCTGAAGCTCATTCCTGCCTTTAACCCCTACGCCCCGGGCTAGAGTGCCACTGGCCGTATCCCCCACATGCGGGGTAATTCAAGAAAAATCAACTTTTCCAAAAACAATAAAAAAGAAGTAAGAGAAACTATATATTGACCCTCTAGAAACTTTCCTGGGGCAGCAGTGGTGAGGGAGATAAAAAAACAGTGTTGTTTTGACGGCGAGCGCTCGTGGTCAATACGCACTTAGCGGCCATTTTCTGCTTGCCTTGTGTCCGGGATGGCCAATAATGCATGTATTTGCTGATAATAATAATTAATTTAGAATATTTTATTTGCATTATTTTTCATAAAAAGTGCTCGGCGACACACACACACAGTCTGTCGTCAGGCTGTCTGGCTGTCTTTGTGTTTGGTAAAGCAAATAATACATATAAATAATTATCGGAATAATAACTCCACAAATAAATACATTTATAACATAATCATAGCATTATTTTCCAGTAATACTGCATGTACACTACAATACAACTACTGTACACTACTTTTAGCAATATTACTTTGATACAACATGATAAAATAGGCAAACAATGAAAATGAAACAAACAAAAGTAGTTACTTACATTCATGAAGCTTTCCTGTGGCCGAGCGTGTGGCGTGACAGGCAAATAGTCACGCTGGTACCTGATAACCCGTGCTGGGCATTTAAACAATGCCGTGAAAAGGCTTGCGTTCAGGAACATCTACTGGGACACCCTAGTTGGACGTTCTGGAACATCAACCGAGGCATAGAGGTTAAGCTGTTAACATCTTTTTTCTATATTCGGTTGGTCTCCTCGTGGAATTTATTTGCTGATTAAGAATGATGTTTGGTTCCATAGGTTATTGTTCTCAAGTAAAACTTTTCTTATTAAAATAATGTCAATTGAGAAAAATTGGGATGTTTTCCTGAACCTCCATCTCTGATTTTGTGCTTTTGATTTAGCAAATGTGCAAACAAGTTGTCTCAAGCCAAGTTTCTCAGCAATTTCATGTTCTATGGACACAGTGGGAAACCCAACAAATCTTTCTTGTGTCATGTTGAGCATAAATGCTTTTTTATAAATTTTAGTTTGGAAAACCTCGCTCACCACTGACCATAGACACTGGGAATGTCAAGAGAATACGTAAAGCAGTAATTACATTTGGGGCACTATCAGCCTTTTTTTTTTTTTTTTTTATTATTATTATATTTTATACAGTACATATAAATTTCAAAATGGCTTGTGATGATGCACGCTTCTCAACCCGTCTTGCAATTGTAATTTACTGCACAAACCTGCGGTATCAAGATCTTTGTCATCACCATGTTGTAAATATTTTTCTAGTTTTAATCAGTGTTCCATGATAATACTTCCTTTAATTTCATTGACTGCATATTGTGGATGTCATACAGGAAACCAAACAGAGAACTTACTTGATACATTTGAGGTGTGATCCAAAAGTTCCTGGACTGGCTTCATAAAATCTTTATTTTTCAAGATTTTACAGTGAAACTTTAGTCACCCTTGAAATATTCTTCAGAGGCCTCATTGCAGTGCTGAATCCCCTCCTTCTACTTCTGAAAGCAGATCTGGAAGTTCTTGTTGGTGAGGCTGGAGAACACCTTCTGCGATGTGTCTTGGATCTCCATTCTGTCCATGATCTTCTTCCCCTTGAGGTTCAACTTGAACTTCGGAAACAGCCAGAAGTCACAGTGGACCAGATCTGGAGAGTATGGAGGGTGGGGGGCCACTGGGATGCCATGCTGTTTCAGAAGTTCAAGTTGAACCTCAAGGGGAAGAAGATCATGGACAGAATGGAGATCCAAGACACATCGCAGAAGGTGTTCTCCAGCCTCACCAACAAGAACTTCCAGATCTGCTTTCAGAAGTAGAAGGAGGGGATTCAGCACTGCAATGAGGCCTCTGAAGAATATTTCAAGGGTGACTAAAGTTTCACTGTAAAATCTTGAAAAATAAAGATTTTATGAAGCCAGTCCAGGAACTTTTGGATCACACCTCGTATGTGTGAATCTTTGTTCAACTAATTGTATTGCTACATCCAAGATTGCAAAATAAATGTTTACTTTGAACTTTGCTTTGGAGTCTGAATGGTTCATATTTAATCCAATCAAATTCAGCGACATTGGTTGCCCTCCTCACTGTAGTTATAGGTAAGGACTGGCATGTTCAACACTACAAAAACTTCAGATATTCAATACACTTGGTGTCACAGAATCTAGCTTGAACATGCTCTCACTCAAGTTAAAATTTTTTTATTTTTTAATACAAACTGATTCCACTATCCTACACTTCTTAAATTCATTGCATTTGTAAAATAATTGGCTTTAGGGTTTTTTCTCTTACACATGACACGTCATAATACCATGCGACCCTCTCCCCACCTTACGTCCTCCATTCCTCGCTGTCTTGTGGTTGACCTCGCCCTTCCCCATCTTGCTCCGACCTTCCACCCCACAGTAAAGCGTTGAGTTTAATCGTTAGAGCAAAATGTTATAATTTTAATAAAACACTTCCTCAACAAAGGTATTTTATAACATAACTTTCATCAGTCATATCCATTCCCTACTTCATTATTAAGTTTTTTAATTTTTCTTAGATCAGGTAATTCTATTTTTGTCCAATATATGTGACACCCCCATATGTTGGTGCCCCAGGCAATTACCAAGTTTGCCTAGTGGGTAGTGCCAACCCTGATTATTATCAGTGGAGAAATACAATTCAGTTAATAATAGAGTTTTCAGGAATGACACTATCATGAAATATGGTATAACTATAAAGTGGGAGGTCTCCTTTTAAATCCCCTGTTTACTTGTGGAATTAGAAAACTGTATCACTCAGGATGTTGTTCATTGCCACTAAAAAGTTAGGGTTATTTAGGGAGTGGACCAGGTGGGGAGCTGATGTACTGGAGGAGTTAAAAGTCCCAATGACCATTCTATTAAAATTAATATTCAAAATTATGAAATTTTGATTGAAAGAGGTTGTACACACACACGCGCATGCACGCACTGCAAAGAAGTCACACTACCTAATCAAGCTGCAACACCTGAAGCAGTTTAGCATCATTCAGTGGTATGGTAAGCTTAAAGAACTCTGTGGACTAAACAGTAAGATACACCCTCCCCTTCCTTAGTCGTCTCACTAATGGTGATGCAGCTGAGCAATCAAACAACCATTTCACAACTCTATGCCAGATGCTCTCACGGCTTGACACAACCAGTCTCCCTGCTTACCTACCAGCCCCCTTTCCCACTGACTTAGTGGAAGAATTTGAAGTAGCAAAACGTCGGGACAAACTGAAGTTAAAGCGCTACACCACCCCCATTAACTTACCAATGAAACTCTACAAGGAGTTCTCCCTGGAACTAGCTAAACCCCTTTGCTCCATCATCAATGCTTCCCTCAGCCAAGCAAGATGCCTAGCTGACTGGAAGACCACATAAGTGTCACCAGTGTCCAAGTGAACCAGCCCACAATCCTTAAATGAGCTACAACCCATTGCCATCATCCCAATACCCAGCTTAATCTGCAAAAGTTTTGTGTTTGACTGGACTTTTGCTGATATTGCAGGCTCCATAGATCCTCAACAATTTGGAAATATGAAAACTTCCTCCACCACTCACTGTCTTGTCAGCTTTCTCGACTACATATACTGCCATCTGGAAAAACGAAAGACTTCTGTGGCTGTCACCTTCATTGACTTCACCAAAGCATTTGACCTAGTCATCCACAATTTAATTATCAACAAAGCTATTGACCTCGGGTTTCGGAGAAGTCTTATGCCATGGCTTACAAACTTCCTTCGTGACTGACGCCAAGCCGTACACTTCCGAGGGGCTGTCTCCACTATTCAATCGCTCTTTTGTGGCATTCCCCAAGGCACCAAGATTGATCTGCTCTGCTTCCTTATGCTTATCAGTGGTGCCCTAAGAGAAACCTCTGCTCGTTGGAAATATGTTGACGACTTCACCATTGGAATCGGTGTCAACAATCCGCTTCCGGCTACACCGACCTGCAGGATTTATTGAACAGTCTACAAAATTGGGCCACCAACAACCACATCACCATCAACCATACCAAGACCATGCTTATGTCCATCAACTTCTCCTCCAACCTTGTCCCACCTCCCTCCATTACTTTGGGCCCCAACACACCCCAGGTTGTGGACTCCACTAAACTCCTCGTCTTCACTATAGATAACAAACTACAGTAAAACCTCGATTAACCGACCACATATGGGGGGAAGGGGCCGATGGATAATCCGAAAGGTCAGTTAATACAGTTGTACCCCGCTTAATGCGGTCAATTGAACCCACAGGGTACCATGTTAAGTGAAAACCGCGTTAAGTGAACAACAGAACATATGGGATTAATTCCAATAGAGACTGGCCCGACCCCCAAACTCCACTTTTTGACGACACACAACTATGTTGTAGTAAAAATATTATCTTAACTTTATGATGGTATGCACACACAATTAATAATTAAGAGAAATATCAATAATATTAGGTTTTTTAACACTTACATTAGTAGAAAAGATGACTGGGCACACGGGGATGGGGGGTTGGTTCCGAGGCAGAGGGCAGATTATTGGCCCTCACCTGTATCAATTGTATCACTATCCACCACAGAGGCTTGCAGGGCCTCTTTGTCAAACCCCTCAAAGTCCATATAAGTCCATATCCTCACTATAATTATCACTATCACTGACTTGGGCCGGCTGTGGTGGGTGAAGAACTCGGTAATGTTTTGATGACTGGGCAACCTTGTGCGCATCGTGCCCGTGCCGCTTCCCGCGTATATAAGTAGATGAACCGCGTTAAGTGAAAGTTCGGTTCTGGCGAGGCACCGCGTATATGAGAAATCGCGTTAAGTGAAACCGCGTTAAGCGGGGTACAACTGTAGTACATAAAGTCTACGGAAATAAAACATACATTTTCAAAGTACCTTTCCCTAACCTACCTCATTTAATTCCCTCTATTTATTTTTGTACATTTGCCATTCATATTTCAATAGAATTTGCTTTAAAACATTAACCACTTTAGTAAATAAATATGAACCAGCACAGAAACCATGAATAAAAAATGGAAAGGTCAAAGAACATGTCATCACAAAAATTGTGACCATGTCCCAGGTTGCTGGTCTGACTTTCTACCTCATTTACACAAAATTGCAGGGTCTCAATTGCTTCTCTTACTATTAACAACACAACATACATATATTGTTTCTCACTCTTGATTTTTTTCATTTTTGCATTTATTTATGGTTCTTTATTACTACTATTATTATTATTATCATTATCAATATTATTACATTACCCCCCCCCCCAGGCCCCGATGTGGGTCAGTGACCTGTGCCCGGGTGGGCTAATCCCTGTAAAAAAAAAATTTTTTTTTTTTTTTTTTTTTTTTTTTTTTTTTAGGAGTTCGGGATTGACGGTTAATCCGAAAGTCGGTTGATTGAAGTTTTACTGTAAATTGGAAAACACGTCGGTACAGTAGTCAAATCATCCCGTTTTCATCTCCACCTCCTCCGCCAACTCAAGTCCCTCGGAGTTCCTGCGCCTGAGCTCCTCAGTGTTTGCTCAACATTCATACTTCCCAAGCTCACCTATGCCTCCCATGCCTTGTCTTCCTCCCTAAATGCCACACAATGGAAACACCTATAAAAAGTGCAAAAGAGAGCAAGCAAGATTATTCTCTCCCTCTCCTACTCCACATATCTAGAAGCGCTCAACACACTGACCCTCTTGGCTCTCTTTGATCATCACCACGACCTCATCTGCAAATTTGGTGAGAAGCTTCTGCACCATCCTCGACACCGGGTCTTACTTCCACCCAAGATCCTTTGTCCGTGAATTGCTGTTCGACACCACAACCACATCCAGCCCATACGAGCACGAACTGATCGTTATAAGAACAGCCCAATCTCCCCCATTGTAAAAATTATCAACATCTTGTAATCAACCAGTGTATTCACTCCCAGTCAATCCTACTTTTCTGCATATCACCGTGTTGAAATGCCCTTGTTATTTTATATCATGTTTGTATCACTTATGTTACTTGTAATATTCTATGTCAATCAAGTGACCCATTCCCTAATTATGTAACTATATTTTCAGCCTTCTGGCTGACATGCTCTTTTAATAAACCGTTAATTATTATTCACACACACACACACACACACACACACACACACACACACACACACACACACTCACTCACTCACTCACTCACTCACTCACTCACTCACTCACTCACTCACTCACTCACTCACTCACTCACTCACAATAAAAAACTGGTCCTACAATGCTGTTCAAAGTTTAAGTGTTGTGTATTTATCTAGGAAACACCCTTGTAAATTTTCTTGGAGATCGGTGCATGTTTGAGCTAGCACCGTCGGCTTTACAAAATAAAAAGGAATATTATTATCTAATGAACAAATTTAGTGGAATTTCTTTTATTAGACTTATAAGATATTCTAACACCAAGCAAATGATCGATCATATCATTCTTATTACCCCTAAAACAATATTATAGATTAGTACGAAATACAATAATTGCATTTCTAGGTTCAAGACCCATTTCTCTCAACTGGTGTACAATGAAAAAGAAAAGAAATACTACTACCCCGCAATACCTGGAGTGTTTGAGGAGCTCCAGCAGGAGATGGCTGACTTCTTCCGTGAATCTCTAGCCCAACCATTTACACGTGGCGACTACAAGGAGCTGGTAGAGCTTTGTCTGCTGCTTGTAACTAAAGGACCCGAGCCAGTGAACTTCACAATGGTCTACCCCGGCGCACTTCACAAAGCAAGGTGGATGGCTAAGCTGCTCTATACCCTCAAGATTGTTCTTTTGTCAGGTCAGATTAAAGAGCAGTTTCCCAAAGCCGAGGTTGTGACTAAAGGTCAAATCAGCAAGTTAGAACGGTTTGCTGTATTCACAGTCGCTGTTTATGTCCCATGGTGGATTGTTTGCCCCGTTCCAGCAAGTGCGCCACTGAATGACTTGAATTTGGTCGAAACTTTGGCTGAATTTGCCCCATATGACGCCACAATAGTTGACAAAGCACGTGTGGCACTCGGTAGACACACTTGGTACCTAACTGAGGAGTTGGCCCCACTGGCTTTGTTCTCGTCCGAAGTACAAGAAAGGACAAAAGAGGAGATGAGGAAGGCCCTTCTTTGCCATGAAGGCACTGAAGTTTCTAAGAGAGTGGGGCTCAATCATGGGGGCTATGGAAAGCCATATCTTCCCCCTGTCCCAGAAAGTGGGCCTGACTCAAGCCGGTTCTTCACCATTTTAGGCATGCCTTATCAGTTTCTCCACAGTCAAGCCAGTGAATGGGCGGATCATGACGACTACTTGAACATGAAACGGGTTGTGGACAAGCTTCAGGTCGTGAATGAGGCTGCAGAGTGTGGTGTAAAACTTTGCCATGACTTTCTTAATGTTGCCAGGGATGAGGAGCGCTTTCAAGAAGTCCTTCAAGTAGTTGAAAATGACAGACTCCGCGTTCCTAATCAGCGCAAACGATCATCTGTTTCCGAACAGAAATCATGGTTTCTTGCTCTAGAGAAATAATACCTTGTGACTATATGATAAAACCCCTTAATGTACCATGAAAGAATAAGAATGATTAACATTTTTGTGTTAGTGATAACAGCTTTTAATTAAGACAGGCAAATGATTTGTGTTAATATCCCTTATGATGGTTGTGTAATCTCATATATAGGCGCGTATGCCGTATGAGCAAAATCGCTATTTTTCATATTGCTGGTGCTCACTCAAATATGCATGAATCTTCAAAAAATTGCACGTGAGTATTTTTTATGTCAATATGCATTACCAAAATTTTGAACAGCATTGTAAGACAAAGTTGGGGCAACTGTCACACCCTACCCATCAGCTGTAAAATATAATAATTTGTTTGTTCAATTCATGTTCCTTCTCCTTTCAGTAATGAAAGCTTTTGTTAAACGACCCACCCACCCCATGTCTTTGTAATAAGTCAATTTTGTCTAATGGATATTTTCAGCCTTCGGGCTGCAGAACTGTTTCAATAAGCCGTTAATTATTATTATTATTATTATTATTATTATTATTATTATTACAGTATAAATGGGAATGTATCTAACCACCTTGCAATATAGCTGAAAGTGGCTTACAAAGGTGAAGAAAAATAGTAGCTACTTCTTTCAGTATACTGTATATCTGAGGTGCCTTATTCCCTGAGGGAATCCATGACACACAAGCCTCCAGGCCACCCAGTTGAATGATGAAAAACAGTATTATTTAGTCATTTGAGTTTTATATACTGTACATTAATGTGGAATACACCTCTTTACTAATACATACATTATCTTGTAATGTACAGTATCCAGGAAGAAGAAAGGTTAGTACAGTATAGAGAGGTAATGAAGACAGATACAATTATTATTATTTTCAGGTACAGATGAGGTTTTGCTTACTAGAGACGACTTGTGAACAAGAAGATAACTTCCCACCGAATATTGCTGTCAAAATCAATGAAAAAATGTGCCCATTGCCAGTAAGTATGTTGCCTTCATCAGCTCAAGGATGATTAGTGTATTGTTCTAAAAGCATTATTTACATTGTTCACCAAAGTAGGAATTACTGAAAGAGTATCAACAAGAATGTGATCCCTTTTTTTTTCCTTTTCTATGATGTGGCTACATCCAATCTATTCATATCTCAACTAAAAATTATAGAGTACCTAAAAAAATGGAGAAAAACAAGGACAAAACTATGACATTTTGAGCCTCTTTTGAGAAGGGCAGAACATTGGATGAGCCATGTCAGCTAGCAGTCATTTCTACTGTACTACAGAATACACCATATTGGATACTCTGCCTGTGAGTAGCCTTTGTGGACAGAGAGAAAAAGGCAGAATCAAAGCAGAGAAGATACATAAGTAAAAATTTGGGTAAGGTCAGGTTATGTTTATAGGAGCCTTTACTTCGAATAGAACAAGGATATAAGATAGTTGGTGTGTGAAAACCCGACTTACTTTTCTTAAATTCATTCATCAGTATAGTACTGTATAGCAGTATGGAGGATAAACTCACTTAATTTTCCCTCAGTGGGTAGACTACAGTTGGCCTTGTATGCTGAAATTTAGATAAATTTATTTTATGACACAGGAATTCTCCATGGGGAAAATGATACAGGAAGATTAAAGTAGGGCTAGGTTATTTGTTGTCTCCAAGAATATTGGTTATCTTGAAGCGCAGTAATAACATTATAACAACAACAGCGCTGAAAGTGGCAAGGTGCCATGCCATCACATCATGGCGAACACCCAAGGTTTTTAAATTAAGCACTACTGTATACTTTATTATGTTATTTCAATAGATATTAACCTCTGAGGCTCCTTTGCATAATCAAATTCATAATGGTTAAATTTGCGTATGTTGAGGCTCTGGTGTACTGTATTGATATTTCTGGTTAAGGTATTTGTATACAGTAAATTGTATAGTAACAAACAAAACTTCATCCCTCTTAATGAGACTGAGTCACTAGAATGAGTCTCCGAACTGATATACCCTGACTGTCGTTTGGTGCGGGTGTGCTGTTTTATTTTATTTGGGATCAGTATTGTTTCAGTTTGGAAGGAGTGAACTTTTGTTCATACTGTACAACTGTTATTTGTGATATATTTATCGGGATTGTTTTACTCTCCACTAGACCCCAATCCCTACCAACAAACCTGGAGTAGAACCAAAGCGACCATCTCGCCCAGTCAATGTAACTGCACTCTGTCGTATATCTCCCACAGTAACCAACAGAATACAGGTGAGTTGAACAATACTTCTATGCCCTCACAGTGTATGTGAGGAACATTGGTATGCACTTGTCCATCCATGCCTCTTTTTGTTCAGTCCTTGTTTTCTCACTGGAATTTTGCAAATTTTCCCCATGCAAAGAGCAGTGCAGTGTTAGAGGCTTCTTTATACTCATTTTCATAAATTTGTTAGATTTTTAGTCTGGTGGATTTCTGCATCAGTAGGAGTGTATGTGTTTAAAAACACAAGTGTAACAATAATATAATGTACTGTACAAATTACTTGTTGCTCTTGTAAATCAAGAAATTTACAGGGATTATGGCATGGCCCAGCTTTGAATTAGTGGATTGTATAAAATATTACACCCCAAAGTACAGTGGGGTAAGCTATAACGAACGGATTCTACTACGAATATTCCTATAACGAACGGTTTTACCTATAAAATTGAGAATGCTATAACGAACGCAACCCCTACAACGAACGCGGATGAATACAGGACTATTTCGTCTGGCGCATGAATATTGTTGTACCGCGGCTCACAACAAGAGCGTCAGGTGCCATATTGGTTCATTGTGTAGTCAGTGCACCACTGAACTTGTTGAAATTTCGTCTTTTGATGTGGAAATTCGTGTTATTTTTATAACTATTTTGTTATACAAGTGTACAATTGTAACAATGAATCGTCAAAAGCGAGTGAGAAAGCTAATAACCCTTGAAACTAAGAAAGAAATTATAAATAAAGTGCCTGTAAAACAGTCACCAAAGAGGGCTAGGAAGGATGACTCCTCTCCTTCCACCTCTTCTCCATAATTCTCTCCTCCCCCCCCCTCCTCCTCTGCCTCCTGTCCTGTATTTTTTTACAATTTCCACAGAATTTTTTCAGTGATAAGTGGTTGTATTTGGGGGCCTGGAGCGGATTAATCCTATAACGAACGAATGCTATAAAGAACGAGGTTCTAGAACCAATTAGATTCGTTATAGCATACCCCCACGGTATATCATATTTTGTCATTTCAAATTTTTTCTTATTTATTTAATTTCCCTTTCCTGATTGTATTTTTCTTTTTCTTTTGTCTTTGTTTTCTTATTTCCTTCCTTCTACTTTTCTGATTGTGTATGCCCACTAAAGTAATTTTGTCACATTTTGTTTCTAATTGCAAGAAATTAGTGACAGCGTCGTTCATGTGATCCCTTAAGCACCATGTGGTGTTTTTATACTAAAGTTTAGAGTATTGTTGTAAAATATAGACAGTGGCTGAATTATTTAGGGAAATTTTTAATAAGTATCCACCCCCTGAGTGCTGAAGTAAAGTGAAAATGATATTGGTTGTCATTTAATTTCCGGGTCTCACAGGTATTGTATTGTTTCTCTTGTCCATGATTCTTAATGGAGCTATAGTTTTGTAATGTGATTCCCAAGTACCTCTTGTTACCTATATAAAGATGCCATAGGTGCTTTTATACTGTATTACGCATATAAACACTTGAATTTTGGGTTCTGTACTTCAGTATATTTTGAATTTATTTAATAAATAATGTGGAATGTTTGCAGGTGTCCTGGGCCTCAGAATATGGGCGGTGCTATGTCATATCTGTTTACTTGGTGCAGAAGTTATCCTCAGATGACCTACTACAGAGATTAAAAAATAGAGGGGCCAAAATTGCAGACTTCACAAGATCACTCAGTAAGTGTTGATGCTTTTCTGTTTATTACATAGCGTTATAGTAACTAATAGCTGATTAACCAAATGGATATGATTTTATGCTGTTTCGCATTTGATAGATCACACCAGTACATAAATTATCATACTACAGTAAAATGAAAATATTTTAAAGTGAATTCATTCTTATTTTTCTTGCAGTAAAACAGAAACTACAAGAAGATGCAGATTGTGAAATAGCCACAACATCTTTGCGATGCTCTCTTATGTGTCCTCTTGGGAAGATGCGAATGATGTTACCATGTCGAGCGAGTACCTGTGATCACCTCCAGTGTTTTGATGCATCACTTTATTTACAAATGAATGAACGAAAACCCACCTGGACGTGCCCTGTTTGTGACAAGAGTGCTGTCTACGATTGTTTAGTGATTGATGGGTTAGTGCTATTATGTTTACTGTTACAGTATCTTCCTTTCTCTTTATGAGATATACAGTAGCCTAGGGTTATTTCAAGAGATCGGGACTGAGAGCATTTCTGGAAAGGAAAATCATTACAAAATAAGGGATTAGGGGCTGGAGGCCTAAAATATTCACCAAACGATACTTGAAAAGATTAATAACTTATTAAAACCAACCTAGAAATGTACAGTATTTTGATATCCCATATAAAATTAAGAGAACTGTATAAAATGAAGAAAATTACATAAAAACAATAAAAGAAAATAGCACAATATATGACAGCCTCTGATCGACCCATTGACCTACAGAATCAGCGGTAATCAGCACATTAACTAGCAACTTAAGGATTTTATATTAATCATGATGTACCATAAACCATAAGAGGCCGATCATATGAGAATAAAATACTGAATCAATGAACTTGATGAATGCGTCAACCCCCGATAAGCCACATTCGTCAGGTTTATTTTTTATTTATTTATTTATTTATTTTATTCAGTACAGGTACTGTATTTCGTATATTCTTGTATGCTCGGCCTCTTATAGCTTATGGTTCATCATGATTAATATAACATCTTCAATAGTAGAGAAAAAATGCAATATGTAATTTGTAAAATAACTTGAAAATAAAAGGATAAGCTGTGAGAGCTTTCAGCAGACCAGATTACAACAAGGTTACTATAACATACTGTATAGTGTTTGTTATGAAGATACCTTCCTAACAACATTATTTATTACCTTTGAGTGGTACATGATGGCTCAATTTGGCTACTTGTACACTGAGACAACTGATTAATGAACAAACCAGGGTACAGTAATCCCGTGTTTTTCGCGGGAATTACGTTCCTGAAACCCCCGCGAATATCCTTAAATGTGCACGTATATGTTGGCATTTCCAATCCATCTCTTTTTTTTTTTCTTTGCCTTTAGTGTTTAGCTACTTCTATTGTACCATTCATTAACATTAAATAAAATGACTTAAAACATATATATTATTTTTTTTACATTAAATTTACTACAGCTACAACCAGGGTCCTATTTTCGTAATTTTCTCGTGTAGAACTATCTCCCGGACTCCCGACTGTAAACACAAACGAAAACAATGGCGTCCCATCTCCTCTTGTGTGACCATATTATTATTCATTTATATTGTATAAGGTGCATTCAGAAACATTATTTAAAGAATATAGTTTGCATTTTTCATTAATTGTATTGTTTTGGGGGGAAATGAGGGTAAAAAGCCACACAAAAGATATGAAAAGGTCACACTTGGGAATGCATCTCATTATTATTGCTTTATTTTAATGGGAATTAATGATTCGCGATACGATAATTCACCTTACACTGCAATATTGTAGGATACATTAACGTTATTATTCGAGGCTTTACTGTACTATACTAATTTACTAAGTGCTGAAGACAGACATTGTGGTAAACATGGGTGGTGAAGGAGCTAGATCTATCAACTGTTTGTCCTTGTAAACAAACGATTCATGATGTTGAGTATGGGATTCTTTTTTCAGGAGAGATGACTCTTTCATAATAATATTTTATCAACCTGGTACCAAATGAACCCACTGGATTTTACGGCATATAAGGCACACTTTTTTGCTTGAAAAATGGCTAAAAAATTGGTTTATGTCCTATGTGTGAAGCTGCTGTCTTTCGTAAGTTAATGAATCCCCCTGTTGCTGTCTCCAGTAGGCTAAATTCTACTTAACCCAACTCCAGAATTAAAAATATGTTATTGCTTACTTAAACACATTATCATTATTTTTATTTATTAAAAAATAATTAATGTCAATATTAAAGCTCGATTTATAACTTCTGTACTGATGATGATAACCTGAGACGATTACCTTCCGTATGGCAGACACCCAACTCATCAGAGGTAGCTAAGCAGTAACCATTTCTGAACTCTCACAAGCATTCCTATATAGTATCTATTAATGTAATATCTGTAACATTTATTTTTAAATCTACGCATACCTGATACAAATGAAGATTTACAGATAACTTTCATTTCACATTTGCATCTGTTAACATCACTTGCAGCATCGTAGCCAAGTTAGACTTGTCACTGTAACCACCAGGCTACTGAGCCAATCTGCGAGGTGATGTGATTGTTTTTCAACATGTATTTTTGGGTAGATATACAGTATACGCTTTCTTCATTTATTTTTACTCGGTTACATGCACACACCAACCTACATACATATTGTGAGGAAAGGTTAAGGAAATAATTGTTTTAAGTTCAAACACCTGAAGGGAATATACATTTATTTGCACATGAGGTAACTGGCTCAGTGGGGGAGTGGGAAGAGGATAGTACTGTACAGTTGATACAGAATATAGTTTCCCTATATTCAATCATAATTCAAATTCTGTGGTTACTTATATACAGTACGTATACAACTTTACAGTAAATAACAATAAACTTGGTGAAAACAGTTGTTGACAACCAGACTTATATCTGCTATCAGCACAAAGTCATCAGGTAAGAGTAGGGGTCCATCATGGGTCTGTCTAGAACCCCCTTTTATTTATCATGGTGCTGGAGGCATTATCATGGCACTCTAGGATTGGCCTGCCTTGTGAGTTGTTGTATGCTGATGACTTAGTGCAGATAGTATAGAAGAGGCAGTGGAGATATTTAGGAAATGAAAAGATGGAATAGGGTCAAAGGACCTGATTGTGAATGTTAATAAAACAAAAGTATTGATCAGTGGTTTGGGTGAGGGACCTATGGTGGAAAGTGGGAATTGGCCATGTGTTGTTTGTAAGAAGGGTGTTGGCAACAACACAATATTGTATGATGAATAGAAGGTGGGTACACAAGAGTTGCAGGTGAATATATGGCAGACTGTGGGATGTTGCTGAGTGTTCTATATGTGCAAGTAACCATGTGCCCACAGTAAGGCTGGAGAAATTCAATGTTGAGGAAATATCCCTGGACTGTGTCGATGAGTTTTGTTACCCGAGTGACATGATCAGCTGGGTATTGAGAAGATTAGTGAAGCTCTTCATAGAGGCAGGCTGAGATGATTTGGGCATGTAGAGAGAATGAATGAGACCAAATGGTCAAGAGACCCATGAACCTTAATGTGGAGGGGATTGGAGTCAGGGGTAGGCCAAGAATGCTCTTCACTTTTTCTGCCAAAGCTGTGTCAGTTGATGCAGTCTCACCAGTGTGTGTCTGTCTATCTTCCTGATTGTCTCTCTATCACTTACTCTGTCTCTTCCTCTCCTGCTTTTGTTTTGTGTGAATGTTTAGTTTGTTATTTCCTTTGATAAAAGTTTTTGCATTTAGCTCAGCTTCAGTTCAGGCTTGCTTTACATAATCATCAATCTTCCTTTTACTCCTGTAATAGATGCTTAACGAATAATTTATATTTTTTATATATCTATTTCTGCTACAGGTACTTCCAAGAGGTCCTTCAACAGAATTCTAGCTGTAATGAAGTGACATTACACAAAGATGGGGGTTGGACACCTCTCATGCCCAAGAAGGAACAAAAAGAGCCTGAGGTTGAGAAGCGGAAATCTGAAGTAGCTGTAGAAACATTAAGTGATGACAGTGATGATGATGATGATACTCGAGACCAAGATGATGGTGGGTGGCAAACAGCATTGTATTAAGAATTTATATTAGACCAAATTATTTGAAAACTTCCATAGGTATAAGAGCAAAACAAATTTGTAATCAGTGCATTTATTTATTTATTTTTCAATGAGTCATTTGTGTGTACTGTACTAACAATATGGAATTAATTTTATGAAACATAAGGCTATTAAATTTTTTTCATATTATCTCAGGATGCCATGACATCAGTTTAAAAAGTAGGCTTATGCTTGGGGTGAACCATGTGTGAACAGCACTACCTATCATTGTGTAAATCAGAGCGCACCCAACCTTCATAGTGAGTGGACGTGCTACGCGTCGCTCCCTGCTCAGTTCAAATCGCTGACCGTTACGACTGTCTGCCTTGTTTTTCGCGTTGGGTCCGTTCTGACTGCTTTATCATGTAGTTGTACATGGATATCATTATTCTTGTACACTGCGCTTCTTCCCTATCCTATCCTTTCGCCTAGAGTCCCTGCTGTTTGGTAACGACGCGAACCCTGCGGGCAGAGCCTCAAGGTGGGCCCTCAGAGGGCTGCTGAGTCGAGACAGTAAGGGTGGCAACATTTTCTGTTAGGGATTCGACAGTGCTTCATAACCTGTCACTGCTAGGTGTTAGGGCTTGGCTAGGCCCCCGCCAGGGGATTGTCTGTTCACCCTACCCCTAGACCCGTCTTTACTTGCCCAGCAAGCGGACAGAAGGAGCGGCATCCATGGGGTTTAGCTGAGGTGGACAGATTAGGTAGAATTTTCATTCATTCATTCATATATGTTACTGACCATGGCCAAAGTGAGAGTGAAGATCTCCGGAACCCCGACCCAGGGGGTCTCGGATAGGGTTAAAAAGGCTATTGAGCGACCTAAGGGTGAGGATAAATAGACTTGTGGATCTGACAGATGGTTACATCATCCTCACAGAAACAGATGAAGATGCTGATAAACTACTTAAGTCTAGTGCCATGGACAAAATGAAAACCAACGGTTACGAGGTCATTGTCCCACGGGAATACGGCGCCAAACTCACCCTTGTATGTAAGAAGTTAGACAAAGATGTAGTGGAAAATAACGCAGAAGAAATAAGAGATGAAATACAAAAGCAAAACAATGTCAAGGTTGTGGAGGTGTATCCTATGTATGCCCATAATATAATCAAGGTTTGCTTTGCAGACACAACAGATGCAAAAAGAATGAAGGAGAAGGGGCTCTATGCATATGGCACTTCCATCTCATCCCACCAAATAGAATATGAAAAGTATAAGCCCATCCAACAATGTATGAAGTGCTATAAATACAATGACCACATGACCAAGAACTGCCCCATGCAAGGGGTCATATGCTCTGAGTGTTCATCTGATCAGCACTTCTACAAAGACTGCCGTAGCACCATAAAAAAGTGTGTTGTCTGCGAGGGTGACCACAGGACCTTCCCTGCCACCTGCCTGGTCAGGAAACAGGTACTTCCAGAAACAGAGAAGAGACTGACCGAAATAACCAAACAAAAAGAAACCAGGGAAATTTCTAACATCATAGAAAGGACCACTCAGTCGACAATCATGGCTTACAGCCAAACCCTAAAAGACGCTCTAAAAGAAACTCAAGCAGACTCCCAAAAGCTCAACAATGTCAGCGAGACCATGGAAGTCCTGCAATCAGAGATAAGAACCATCAAGGACTCAATAAAACAGGCAGTTACTGAGTCACTGGGCGCCATGAGGGACGCAGTGGCCGAGAGCATCAGGAGTGTCTCCTCTCCACAGCTGGACGAGTCCAAAGCCACCACTATATACTTGTCTTACCTGCATGCCCATCACATGAACATGGTTCATCCAGGTTCATTCTCGAAACACCTCAACGAGACACTAACCAGGAACAACATTGCACCTGTTGAAATAAGCGACAAAGTCCCTTCAAAAGAAATCCTTAAGGCAGTAACCCACTCAACGACTTATCGACGACCTCAACCCACGCCAGAAATAGACCATGACCTCCTTGACTTAGGCAAAAGTCAGTATAACCGCAATCCCGACGTGGCCAGTCAGTCCCCCTGGGATCACAGCTCCAAAGACACCGTAAATGCCTGGGATCTCATTACATGCACTCCCAGCGGCGACGGTGACCATCGGACTGCAACCACAGTCAATGGCTGCGACCAGATGATGACGACTCACCCCACAGAGGAACAAGACCCTCGAGCTGCAGCGTCAGTTGATTACTACGACACGCAGGCCCAGGACCTGAACACCTTCCTGTACACGGGTGACGAGAAGTTCGAGGGCCCGCCATTGACTGACAAGCAGATGTCCGAAGGTTCTGCTAAGAAGTTCCGTCCCCCTAGAAATGGCAGAAGCCGAGCAAACACTCCAAGCGACGCCCCAAGCTACAGTCTCCGAAATGGCAGTCGTTAGCAGGATGAAAATTGTCCAACATAATGTCCTACACTGGTCCCTTAATAGATGTAACGAACTGTCTAACTTATACTATCAATTAGACCCAGACATCATTCTGTTAAACAGCACTGGCATAAAGGACGAAAGTAAGCTGAAAATTTTTGGCTACACTGTATACCAGAGGAACATGACGGGTGAGCTGAACGATGGTGTTGCTGTGGCCATCAGGTCACGGCTGAGTCACAGAGTGTTGCCAGACTTCGAGGATTCAGTTCTGGGAGTGCAGGTGGAGACAACTAGGGGACCTGTTATCATAGGCACAATGTACCTACCTCCCAGACGTCCTTACTTACGCCACAGAAAACCAACATACATCATAGGGGACTTAAATGTGCGCCACGCCATACTAGGACATGGTAATGAGAACAACGTCGGTGTGGCGCTGTATGACAACATCAGAAGGGGAAAACTGCAACACCTCGGGCCAGATTTCCCGACATTGATCAGACGTGCCAGTGCCACAACACCCGACATAATCCTCTCTAACAACGAGGCCGTCCTGAACAGGCACGTTACCGCTGGACCCATCAGTACCAGCGATCACCTGCCAGTCGTCGTGACGCTCTCATCCAATCCCATTATGATCCCCGCCAACATCAGGTCAAACCTCAAACGGGCAGACTGGGCCTCCTTCAAGGAGTCTCTCAGTCTCAAGCAGGGGAGAAACCTGGAAGCCAGCCAGCCCCAATGACATCGACGACGCGGTCGAACAATGGTATAAGGATGTGAAGACGGAGATGGACAACAACATCCCGACCACCAGTTACAGGACCATTCCCCATCCTCACACTAGTCACCAGCTGAGGCAGCTCAGTGTCCAGTACGCTCACGTGAGACAGCTAGCCAGTATCCGCAGGTGGACGCAGGAGCTGAGAGACCGGTACCGAGAGCTACAGACGGACATCCAGCACGAGAGCAAACGTCTACATGAACAAAAGTGGGCCGCCTTGGTGTGGGAGGCAGCCAACAATTACCGCGATTCTGCTGCATTCTGGAAAGGGATCAAGCGACTGATGGGTTCCACCTCTTGCACGGTCCCTTACCTGCTCGACCAAAACAACATAAAAATATTCGAGGAAGAAAACCAAGAACAACTACATCGACGATATTTACGAAAGATCTTTACCATTAGTGAACAGGAGAACGAGGGCTTCGACAGGGAGTTTGAGGAGGACATTTTAGGTCAGTTGCAGGACCATCAGCACCTGCTCCAGCCGCTCCCACAGGCTGACTTCACGAGACTGGTTGACGGAAGCTACCTGACGGAGCGCATAGTTCCTGCAGATGTGTCAGCCGTCATAAAGGGGTTTAAAAACAAATCACCTGGTCAAATTCACATTAACAAGAAGATCCTGGCTCAACTCCCCGACAATATGATAGAGAGGCTTGCTCATATATGCAATGCCTGCTTCGCCTCTGGATACTTCCCTAAGATGCTCAAAATTGCCGTTATTCGCCTCATACCAAAAGCAGGGAAGCCTCCAAACAAAGTCGAAAACTTTCGACCAATATCGCTGCTAGAGGTACCTGCCAAAATCTTCGAAAAAATAGTCAACAAGCGATTGCGGATGTATCTGGAGGATGAAGACGTGCATAATCCCCGCCAGTACAAAGGCACATCCACCGCCATAGCTCAGGCCTACGAGCAGATCGCCAATGCCATGACTGGCCGCCTGCAGTGCAATATAGTACTGAGGGACGTCAGCAAAGCGTTTGACAAAGTTGGGCACGCGGGGCTGCAGTATAAGATCATACAACTGGGGCTACCCGAAAATCTGACGCGCCTGCTGTGTAACTTCATTATGGACCGCAGAGCCAAAATCAAGATGCAAGAACATTTTGGAGAAGAATTCTCACGATCGAGCGGCGTGCCTCAGGGCTCTTGTCTCTCACCAACCCTTTACACACACTACACGGCTGACCTGCCACCCCCAATTGTCGGCAACGAGTACGTCATGTATGCCGACGATGTAACACAGATCGTCACCTGCCCAGGAAGGTCCACAGCAAGGATGACGCGACTCACTGCTCGGGCAATAGAGGAGATCTCGGAGTATGAAAATAAATGGAAAATAAAAACAAACAAAACGAAATTTGAGGTCATACCCATAGCCAAATTCAAACCGGCCCCATTGATGATCGACGACGAAGAGATTGAGTACTCTAAACAAGGCAGGTTGCTCGGCCTCATTATTTCTCGGACGAGCATCATTCCCCACGTGAAGGACAGACTAAATAAAGCCAAAGTCGCCGCAGCCAAATTAAAATGTTTTAAATTGATGCCTGAGAAGATACAAGTTCACCTGTACAAGGCACTGGTGAGGCGTGTGTTGGAGTACCCATCTATACCTCTCGTCACACTCGGGAAGACTAGACTACAACAACTACAGAGCTTCCAAAACAAGTGTTTGAGGTCAGCCAGTGGCCAAGCGCCACCCTACCAGGAGACAGTGGAAACCTTCCACCTAAGAAATAAAACAGGGGCCCTCAACTTCAGGTTCCATCGCCTAGGGAAGAAGGTTTGGGACAAGCTCCTGGACGACCCTCACAGCCCAGACCACCTAAGCGGGGAAGACATCAACGGAGGGAGACCCCACGCCTGGTGGCTCCGGAGTCTGCCCGCACTACAACAACCCAACCCACGACCCATCTATGTCCGCCACAGTGATCCACCTTAGATTAAAACTTAGATGATATAAATTCACATTTAATAAGTCACAATCGAGTCCATAACGTAATACAGTATAAGATGTTAATAAACTTGTAATTGTAAAATCAATCTTGTCATTGTCTACTAAAATAACCATTGTGCAACCTCATTCTAAATCCTAGGTTAGCTTAGTTAGCCAACAAACTCTGTAATATGTAATACAAGGGGTGTCGTCCCCCTCTGTTTAGCTCATTAAACTTCTTTTCCAACCTTTCCCCCCACGACTATATGTTGTGACTTCTCCATCCCTCATGTCTGGCTGTGCCTTGAGCCCCAGCATGCCTTCTATCCTTTCCCCACCTTAACCTAAAAAAAAAAAAAAAAAAAAAATTGTGTAAATGCTACCATATGTAAATTCTGCCAAATTTTGTGTGAATACATTGTGATGCATAATATGATACATGTACTTCAAAAAGTCGTTACCTACTACCTAGTACACCAGCTCCCACATTCCTCCTTTTGTTCTTGCAGAACATACCCGTTTATGGAAGTACAAGGGGAACAGTTTTCCATGTACTCCTCTCTACCTCTTTATCCTGTTATTGGTATTTTTCCCCTACTCTCCTTTCTAGGCATTCATTTACATTTTCTTTGTTATCCCTTATTCATCAAATCTTTACACATGCCTGTAGCACTCCATCTTTTATTATCTTTAGCTACTCCCTTCTTTATATTGTATTCATTCCTCACTTTATTCCCTCTGATTTTAATGTTCTCTTTCATTTTGATAGTACCTGTACATTTTACAATACGTAAAGTACAGTTTGATTTCAATAACCTATAGGTTATCAAACGTCAATGTGTGACCTCTGAGAATTATTCAGCTAAATCCTTTCCTTGTTTAGGGTTGACTACAATCATTCCTCAATTTACGAAAAGGATGCTTCCGAAAAAATAAAAAATACAAATATTTATTGTATGTAAAACATGAAAATTTTCCCCTACTCAAACTAGGACAGAGGTTTAATTCAATTTTGATTTGGTGGTTCACTTAAGGAGCAGTGAGGTTTACCTAACGTTAGGTGTCAAAACTTTTAAACTTAACACAAACAATTCTCGTTAATCATAAAAGGAAGTTCATATTCTAACCCCCTCAGCTCCTGCAATTTTGTTGAGCTAACAAGCATTACTTCTGGACTTAGTGAGTCCATAATGCTAACTGTTGCTTCATGTGGATCACCCCAGATGATTAGCACTGTATTCCTTCAAATTGTAACATACCGGGTATGCACACGCATACACATGCATACACACATGCACGCACACATATATCTCCATGTACTGCTCGAAGTGCGAGCCCCAAGGATGTGGGGGGTCCCATACACAGTGGAAAGGTTAATAATGTCCCACATAGTGTAAATGGAAGTGATGTAAGGTTGATGGATGCATTATAAGACTTAGGAATTTGGGAAAATTTACCTGTGCCTATTTTGACAGCACCCATTGTAGAAGAGGTAAACAATAAGAAAAAATCTGCTGAGCCAGAGATCATTACACTTACTGATAGTGAAGAAGACGATGACTCGGCACCACCTCCTGCCAAACGTCCTAATAATGGCCAAACTACTGTCCCGGTTTCTTCAGCATCTGCTTCTGGGTCAGCTGGCAATAGTACTCCACATGGTTCAGGTAGGTGATGATGAAGTGTTTATGTATTGTACAGTAGTGGTTGTTGTGGTGAAGGTGTTTAGTTGTGTTAGAAAACAGTTTACACTCTATTGTTGCAGGTGTTTTCTTGTGGATTTTATTATTTATTGTTATAAGTAATATCAGAGTGTTGATGCTGAACCCTGCAATATGCTTGTTTGTTGCTGCTCTTTTTTTTTTTTTTTTTTTTCTCTGTGGTAAACTCTTTTAAAAACACAGTCCACTCATTAATTTGTTGTATTGGACATTCAGATGAAGAATCATCCACATCAAAATGATTATTTAGGCAATTGTGTCTTGTTATTCCATTTTCTTAATTTTGTTTATTATTTTTAATTTTAGTATGTTGTAGTTGAATTTGGATATGAAACATTATACTGTACACCTATTGGGTTGAACATGCAGTAACAGTACTGTATATGATTTTCACATTACAATTTTTGCTTGCATTGTAATTGGCATCAGAAATGTTGGTCTGTATTATAAAATTAGAGTGGGAGGCATATTGAAAAGTGAAATCCTTCTAACATTTCTTACTCTTTGAATATTTGAAGATAATTCATGAAATGACATCCATCAAGGTTTTCTTCCCCATTATTAGCACATATATTAGAAGGGTCTTCATAAACTATTACATTGCTAGCATACTGTCAGATCTCTCATGAATTGGAAAAATGTACAAGTAAAGTGATGATTTATGGAAGTGAGAAAAGTGTCAAGCAGAAAACAGGTTTGGGGTCAGCTCAGATGGTATGGACATACAGAGAGAATGGAAAGTGAAAGAATAGTTAAAAAAAAAAATTAAATAAATAAATAAATAAAAAAAAATATGAGCCAAAGGTGGATAGTAAGAGAGAGAGAGAGAGAGAGAAAAACTAGGAAGGAGATGGAAGGGTAGGGTAAAGAAAGCACTAGAAGGGAGGGGGGATGGACATGAAGGAAGCAAGATTTTAGATTTAAATTGCCCCGGAGGGGGCTAGTTTATTGGGCACCCCCTTAAATCCTGTACAAGGTAAAGCGCAGAAGCGTTTACAGTGTCCATCTGGGAAGCATGTGGAGTTCATGCTTGCCTTTATGACTCATGCATTAAGGGCATAAAAGCCTGAAGGGTCATGGGTTTTGTCAGCAAGTTACATAAAGTGACAGAATGATGTGTGTGGGGGGAAATTTCCCGGAACAATTTATCTGTTTATGGCAAAGCGTGGCAGGTCCCTTATAATGTCAAATGCCAAGCCATAGGCATTGACAATATTGAGGGACATACCTTTTAGTGTGATTGTGATGGCGTGTATGTTGGTAGTGTCGGCTTCAAGGGGACGTCGAGAGGTTGGTAGGGCAGGTCCTTCTTGGCGTAGATACGTACTCCACTAGCATGTCCGCATGGTGGTCAATTGATGTGGAGAACTGGAGTGGATGGGCCCCAGGTGCCGGTGGGGGACGGGGAGCCTAGGGTGGTGTCCTCGGGTCCATGGGCGACAATGCTCTAATGAGTGGAGAGCATGGGGGTCAAGTGATTTTTACCGAAGGTTGTACTTGTAATGATTGATGTTGACTTGTGTGAAACAACGGATAAACCAGATATGGAGCCTTGTTGTGAAAGGGAGTACCATACCTGAGCATATCTCTTACAGTACTAAGAATACATGAAAATAATTGAAGAGAAAGTGGTTGCATGTTTTTGCTCATAATTTCAGCTACTTCAATAATTGGGAATAGGCTTAAAAGAGTTAAAAAAATGATGTATTCCACCATTGCAAGCAGGCATGAAGTACAGTAGGGTCTCAGAGTACACAAGGGCAACATTCCTGGGATCTCCGTGTAAGCGCGAATTCGCATATACAGTATTTGGGTCCCCCTGTATACAGTATATATTATGTGTAACCCCTATTTTATATTAAGGTAACAGAAGCACAACTTCAGAGTTTGATATGCCACACCTTAGTAAACCCACTATCTTAACCCTTAAGCCCTGGGTTTGGGTGCTGGTGGCAGTACCCCCCCTACCCGGGGGTAATTCGAGAAAAATAAACTTTTCCAAAAATAATTTTTAACCTTTTAAAATGATAAAACAATAAAAGTTAAGTAAGAAGAACTATATATTGACCCTCTAGAAACTTTCCTGACTGAGCAGAGGGAGGGAGGAGGCGGGGGAGATAAGGAGACAGTGATGTTTTGACAGCTGACGTTCGTGGTCCCTCCACACTTAGCAGCTATTTTTAGCCCGCCTTTGTGTCAGAGGTGGCCAATAATGTATGTATTTACTGATCTTAATACTTATTTGCGATAAATAATTCATTTAGAATATTTTATTTGCATAATTTTTCATAAAAAAGTGCTTGGCAACACTCACCAGTGGGTCACTAGTCTGCCTGGCTGTTTTTGTGTTTGGTAAAGCAAGTAATGCATAAAATAATAATAATTCCACAAATAAATACATTATAACATAGTCATAGCATTGTTTTACAGTAATACTACCCTACAATACAACTACACTTTTAGCAATATTACTTTGATACAACATGATAAAATGGACAAATAATGAAAATGAAACAACCAAAGTTAGGAAGCTTCCCTGTGGTCAAGCGTGTGATGTGAGAGGCAAATAGTCACACTGGAACCTGATAACCCACGCTAGGTATTTAAACAGTGGCGGGAATAGGCGCGTGTTCAGGAACGTCACCTGGGGCGCTCTGGACTGGACGGACATTCTGGAATGTCACCCAGGCCTAAGGGTTAACTTTTTCTTTGAAAATTCTCACAGTATGCAAAAGAGAGGATACTTTGACAATAATTTAACCTACGGTACCATACAAACACCTTCAATATACAAACAAACACAAATATTACACCTACGTGTATACCATACGAACACTATAAATGTACAAGCAAATGCTCAAACCATCCTCTGGCTGATGCAACACAATTCAGCCAGGCAGTCACAAATCTGACTCAGAGACATGTGTAGCTGCTGCTGCTCTGCCCTATGTGTATGTCGTGATGTCACATAGAGAGATGGAGAGTGGCTGGGTGGGTGGCGAGTTGGCAACGTAGTTACAGCTTAATGCCTCAATGCCTCTACAACATTCACTTCTCACATACACACTCGTGCTCTTAATGTTTTTCTTATTTTATAATTTTATATTATATTTTCTTTATTTCTAAGCCACATTAGAGTATTTTAATGAATTATTTTTTCTCAAACAATCATGAACAAATGATAAATAAGCTGAGCTAGTTAGAGTTACTGAGTGGGTTGGCTCATGCGAGAACAAGACCCAAGCGTATGGGTGGTTCAGAGGGTCAGACATGCATATTATGGATACAAGTACTCTGTGACCCTAGTTTTATAGGCCAATAATACTATGCAATGGTCCCTCGGTTAACGAACACAATTCGTTCTACAGAGTCGTTCGTTAACCGAAATTTTTTTTAACCGAATCCATTATTTCAATGGGATATTTGGTAATTGGTTCCAGCTCACAGAGAAGTACATACAAAGTATAAAAAAAATGCAGTGAAGTACACTTACTTTGAGGTGTGTATGTAGAATGTTGCTGGTTGATGATGATATTGGGAATTAGAAGTGGGGGTGGAGGAGGAGAAGGGAGAAGAGAAGGAAGTGGGGATGGAGGAGAAATCGCCTTTCTTTGGACCCATGCTTGATGCGATAATTTCACAAATAAAATTTTAAGTTCACTAGCTGTAATTACAGATTATTTTATTTAAATTAACACTGCACTGCGCTATATATTATCAGTATGCTAACTAAATTTCAGAATGACCAATAATTTTAATGTAAAAACGTAAAAATACTCTGTATTCAAGAGAGCGACAAACACGATGTTTCCTCCACTGTAAACAAAGTTAAACTGACGCTTTGGCGGATGAGTCAAGTGGCTGATGGGCACACAAAAACTAGTTCCCTGTACTCATATACTATCAATATGTTATCTAAATTTTAAAATGAATAATAATTTTAATATAAAAAATGCAAAAATATTAAAGAGCACAGCCTTCTTGATATTTACTCCACTGGAAACGAATGTAAACATAGAATCAATTACTGTATTGGCGGACTAGCCGATCAGCTGATGCTCACAACAAAACGTGTTTGTCGGAAGGATTTCGTTATTCGAAGTTTTGATCGTTAACCGAATTGAAGATTCTTATGGGAGCTAATTCGTTAACCGAAGGACCACTGTACAGTAATATCTCCGTTAGCCGCAATCCCTCTTAGCCAGAACTCTCCAATACCCGAAATTGAAATATCCTCAGAATTTTCCAGAAAATTTCTCTCAATATTAGGTATGTGAATAATTTTCCAAGGTTGAAAATGAGGCGAAGTTTCTGAAATTTCAGGATTTTTTTTGGGGGGTGTTGGTTGGTTGGTTGGGAGCATATTCTTAGGATGAAATAATGTGCAATATGCAGAAAATTCTGAGAAACTTTTCCCAGTACCAGCAAAAATTACAGAGATGAGGGATCTTTCCGGGATTGAGAGAGTTGTCTCATTACTCGGAAGTGCTCTATACCAATTATTCCTGCTAACAGGAATATCACTAGTACTTTGAAATTTAGCAATCATATTGGACAGAAACTGCAAAATCTGTTCAATTATGATGAAAAATTCGATTACTGTACTTAATAACATTGACACTGCTTGGATAATAGTCTTATTTGTAAGTATAGTACAGGTAACTCGCTTTTTACGTGCGTTTGATATAAGCGTTTTTGGAATAATGCGATTGTTCAATTAATACCAAAAGCTAATTTACGCGTACCTATTTTTGAAATAACGCGCTCAAGACAGTTCAAATTTGCTGCGCATATTCGCCTGGTCACTTGGCAGTGGAGTCTCGTGTGATGCATGGTGAGGTGCTTGTAAGTTATTTCTATAAAGTTGCAGTCATATCAACATAAACGATTTTAATATTTTTATTTATAATAATAATAATTATAATAATGTAATAATAACGATTATT